CACGAACAACCTGGATCGGTCGTCTGTAACATTTACAAAGTGGGTCGTATCCATAGTGTTGCCARCATAAGGTACCCAACCTGATCCATATACTATAAATCCTTTAGGTTATTCTCGAGACATTATCCACTTATATATTGAGAGTGTATCAAATATATACCCAGTATATATATTGTCCCGGTTACATGATAATAACCTTGGATGTTTAGTTTATTGGATTTGGACAATGCATTGCTATGAATTCAACAACAAATTGATTGGATAAAACTATATTGAATATAAATTTGTTTCTACATTAATTACAAACTACGAGTTTAGGGCAACACACCCAACACGTGTGCAGAGTCGTCTCTCGCCTTCTATTAGTACGCCGGTAGTTTATCCTTTAGAGCATTTTTCAGGCTCCAAATTGTCCTTTCGAAAATCATCGTACTCCAGTCATAGTTGCAGAACAACTCCCACCGATCCACAATGCCTTAAAGGTTCCTATCCATATATTGCTTCCTCTCCTTACCCATCATGGCAAGTTCTACGAAGTAAACTATGGCCACCTTGACAACATCCTCGTCGGTGTCAAAATCCTGCTCCATAAAAATCTTCTACAACTCCTTACACGTAACCCTCACCTTGTCCTTAAAATAATGTGATCTAAGTCTTCAGCCAGGAATATCGTAATCTACTCTATTCGTCCTATGTCTGAGCCCGATGATTAGGTCAAACTCTCGCTTGCCGAAAGACACCATTTTCCCAAACAGATCGAAGCTAATGACATCGTGCCTAGGCTCCTCAACCTCTCTCAACAACAGGTTATGGATCAATGGACCATTAAATACAACGTCCATGTCTAGAGTGAGACCAAAACATGTCTAATTGGGTTCGGGTTAACCTAGCCTTAAGAGTAGAACTGGTTTTATCTACATGGGCAAGGTTTGTTAACGAAGCCGGAAACCAATCGTTACGGTTTAGCTTCAGTCTCAAATTCATCATATTTCCTAGACAAAGTTAAAACAAGAAAATTAAATAAAAACAACAAATTAAGCAAAGAAAAAAAAAACAAGACTGTCCCTGAAAAACTGTCTTTCATCCCGATCCGAGATGAAAGGCAGAAAAGCATAAATTTTAATTCCGGGATGATTTTCTTTTTATGCCTTTCATCCCAGTCCGAAATAGACCAAGACCGGTCCAAGATGAAAGGCAGAAGCAAAAAATGATCCCATAACAAAAATTTCTGCTTCTGCMAGGATGAAAGGCAAACACACAAATTGATCCCAGAACATACCTCGATTCCATTACCTTCAATCCCGGACCAAAACGCACCGGGCTTGAATCTAGGATTGAGTCCGGGATTGAATCCCCACTCGTTACTCTTTGATTCTTGATATCTGAAATCCTAAAATCTAACCTACAACTAATTCGCTGCTTCAGATAGTGGCGAAAATGAAAACCTAACACCTAAGTAACGAAAAATTTTCGGATCCCGAAACATACCCCAATTCCATTACCTTCAATCCCGGACCAAAAACCATCGGGCTTGAGTCCGGGATTGAATCCTCACTCGCTACTCTTTGATTTGTGATATCTGGAACCCTAAAATCTAACCTACAACTAATTGGCGGCTTCAGATAGAGCCGAAAATGAAAACCTAACACCTAGGTAATGAAAATTTTCGAAGATCGACTAACCTCGCTTCCTCTGAGATCCAAGACGACAGATGAATTGTTCACTGTGGATAGAGGGAGGGAGACGAAGAGTCCGAGAATAGGGAGGGAATGGAGGGAGACGAAGGGTCAGGGATTATGATTTTAGGTTTAGGGTTTTAGTTTTGGGAATGGAGAGGGAGAGAGGAACGGTTCGAGAATGGGGAGGGAAAGATGAGTGTTTAATTTTAAACATGAGGGTAATACATTAATTTCGCTTTAAAATTTTTTGAAAGGTGTCCAAATTAAGTTGAGCTTTTTTAAAAATGGGTTCATTTATCCAATTTTAGTTATTGGTGGGGTCATAAATCTCAATTTCCCAAATTTTTGTGTGCTCTAAGGGTGTTGGGAATTGTGAATGGCTTTAAACTCTTGAGAGTTGCCCATCCTTTTAGTCATGTCGAACTAGACCAACGTGTCATGTCACCTGATCGAGTCTTCCGAATACTCAAGTACTTATTGTTTCCCACATATGATGCTAATTGTTGATGAAAAATTTTGGCTCTTTGAAATTTACCAAATTTGTATCAATCTTCAAGAATAAAAAGAGATTCGACAGACTAATAAAATAAAAAAGGTTACATACTGGTGTGGTGCTACTCCTATATTCAAGTTAGAATTCGAGTTTTATGCAAAGCGTAGAAATAGTAGATTTTTCTAGCATATAACTCAATTATGAGTATTTTCCTTCTATTTAGTTTTTTCCCCATCTATAACAAGATTAATTTAAAAAAATTCACAAAACTCCCTAATTTAATGAAAAACAAACTTGTCACAAAATTAAGTTTCAATAATACACAAAATTGACTATTAAATAACTCAACTTGTAAATTTTAACCAGAAAACGGCCTGCTGTAATATCTTTTTGTCCAAATCTTATAAATTTCATGCCGAATATATGTTTTATAATTCATTGACACATAGTAATTGTAACACTCTTTAAACTTTAGGGTGAAGATTACAACTTATCAAAGCTTAAGGTGAAATTTGATGAAATTAAAAGTAAGGTAAAATTGATACCCATAGCCAAGTTCAAGTTCCATGCCATAAATTTTATGTGAGAAGCTGATGGATGAGAGAGAAGGTGTGTGACAACCAATAGATTTTACCTCTTATATTCTTCCGTCCTCTTGTATGCAAGTTGAAGAAAGTTCTTTATGGCTTAAAATATAGACTCTTAGAGCATGACGTGAACGTCTCAGTGCATTATTTTTGCTCATTAAGTTTTCACTCTTTATGAGCTGATCCAATAATGGTAGCTTTTGTTACATATTAATCTACATGGATGATATCGTTCTTACTAGGAGTTTCTAACTCTGAGTTTACAAATATGATCTCTTTACTTCATCATATTTAAGATTTACCTCACAGGACAAAGATGTTTGAGGCGAATTCCATTTCCACTGTATAATTAATGGCTCTCTAGATTTCGTTAGTGGAAAAGTTTTGGATGTCTCATTACATACTGCAGTGTTGTTGGTGGTTTGCCATACGTGACTTTAACTCGACTTTGAAATTTCGTTTTGCGTAAACAAAGTCTATCAATTTATGCATTCTCCAATTGTGGCTCATGGACTAAAGAGAATTCTAATATATTTGAAAGGCCATTTTAATTATAATTTCTTCTTATCCAAACCTATTGCTCTTGATGTCACTAGTTTTGCAGAAATAGTCCACTATATTCCATTCAAGCACTAAGGAAAAGTATAGATCTTTTAGCTATGGCTGCTACATAATTGGTTTGGTTGAAATCTCTTTTTGCTAAGTCATGCATTCCTCTTTCAAGCCACCAATAATTCTCTTAGTATGATACTCTAATCTAAGTGCTAAATAGGTCATCCTTTCTTCCACTAATCCTGTCGAATTCGACATTATTCATTCATAATCTTCTTTCGATAAATAATATAGATGTTCGACACTTACCTTCTACCACTCAAATTGTTGATATTCTCACCAAACCCCTATCTACAATTTCCTTCAACAATCTTTGATTCCCACGATTATATGACCAATTATATATTATACTTATAACTTTTTCGAAAAAATTTATTAGTAAAACTTTTAACAAATGAAATTATGAAAATTCAAATTTTGTAAAGATGAATAAACGGGCTTTATAGGAGGAAGATGCTTTTATGAAATAAACCAAAAATAATCATATATGTTAGTTTGTTTTGTTATACGACCAAAATGACCTCTAAGTTGAACATGCATGCCTACAACCATAGAGCTGAGAGTCCACATTGGGTATTAATATGCAAAATATGGTATTTCATTAAAATGTATAAACGGAAATGGGAAAAACAAAACTGCTTTTTATAGTTTCCTTAATTTAGTCATTTTTGTAAACGTTTCTGATCAAAATTTAGAACGAGAAATAGGATGGTTATCAAACATGTATGCTTCTTAAAAAATGAAAAAGGAGAACAACAAACATGAAACAATAACATTATCAAATGAGCCTTTAATTTCATTCTGTTTAGAAGGCCCAAACCTATAAACCTATCAAACCTTTGGGTCTCGTCTATCTAACCAATGTCCCACTAGATTGAACAAGACCCTACCAAATTCCTTGTCAATATCGATAAAAAAGAATAAAAGAAAAAGAAAAAATAATAGAAAAAATAAAAGAACATCACGAATACTTACAAGGGCAAAGGAAATTTGAACATTGGAGAATGTTTGAAGTACCTTCCAAGTAATCTTTGAGGGTAAAAATACTTCTTCTTTTTCTTTAACTAAAGTGTTTGGTAGAAAATACAAATAACTTTTAAAATAATCAAATTGGTTTACAATCATTTTTTGAACATTAAAGCTAACTATCCAAAAAATGATTGATCGAGAATCAATTTAGAAGCATTTTATTTTATGTAATTTGACATTCGTAGAATAGATATAGTCCAAAATTAGGAGTTAAAATCACTTTTAAGAAAATGTAACCAAAAATACTAAAAAAAAGTATTTAAAGATAACCTTTGTTTAAATTAGAAGATACGTTCACTTTTTAAGACTTTACAAAAGGAATGCAAAACATGATGAATGAAGCACAAGTGAACCTTAAAAAATAAAAAAGTCTGCTCGAAATATACATAGATTTCTAAGTGTTAGGAGAAGAAAAGGGTAAAGTATTACTGAAACTTTCAACCGCACAATTGCAAGACGAAGAATCAAACCATCGACCTTAAAAACGATAAAAAATCTCTTGTCCATCGACAGTCAGATTTGTCGTTGCATTTAATTATATTGGAATTCACTCTCACTTCCGTAATTTCCAAAGAGAACCAAAAAAAAAAAAAGAGGAAATTTCAAACCTTAATTCATACATTAATTAATATCACAAGTCCACACAGCTTCCATTTATTTACACAGATCTTCAAATCTCCTAAACATAAAGTTATTTCCCCCACAAACTGTTAAGTAATTTTGACAAAATTTCAATTATTGCAAAACAAAATCAGATAAGTAAGCAGTTTTCTTCTAGCTGTTGTCCCATTTACAAATTCAACCTTTTTTTTCCCCTTTAATAACTTGATAAAAATTAAGGTAATTATAATTAAGAACACCATTATTCTTCACCATTTGGATGATTTACATTTGGTTGATATTTTGTTTCCATCAAGGTAAGGTGCAAAAGTCTTCATTACCTCCTCATATGTTGGTCTCTTGTAGTCCACAGCCTGAAAATAAATAACAATAACGATAATAAATATCTATAACATGTTACTATATTTGTATGTAAGTTTAAATGACGTTTTCGTGACTCGTCTCTAAGCTTTTGCATCGGTTTTTCAGTTTTTGAAATCTTGATTTTGATCTTGAATGATAGTTTGATAACCATTTTGTTTTTATTTTATGCTTTTATGAAAATTATACGTGTTTTCTTTTATGCTTTTATAGAAATTATACGTGTTTTCTCACGACTTCTTTGGTATGTTTTTCAATTTTAAAAGTAGATTTGAATTCTTTGACAAAGTTTAGAAACAAAAATAAGTCCTTAAGAACTACTTTTGTTCTCCTCGGTTTCAGAATTTGACTTTGATTTTCAAAATGAAGCTTATTTGATAACAATTTTATTTTTATTTTATACTTTTATGGAAACTATACGTGTTTTCTCACGACTTCTTATATATGTTTTTCGATTTTAAAAGTAGATTTGAATTCTTTTGACAAAGTTTAGAAACAAAAATAAGCCTTTTAAGAACTACTTTTGTTCTCCTAGTTTTCAGAATTTGACTTTGATTTTCAAAACGAAGCTTAATTTTCAAAAGAAGAAAACGGTTTTGTTTTTTGTTTTAAAAATACTACTTTCACCTTAGTGATTTATTTTGCTAACTACTTTTTAAAATATTTTCAAAATCCAAGCTAACTTTTGAAAACTAAAAAAATTAAAGCCAGTTTGATAATCATTTAAGCTCGTTTGGTAACGTTCATGTTTGAATTGCGGGCCCAACATCCAAGAATTCTAAGTGTGATAAAACAATATTCTTATTTATGTTTTGGAATAAATTAGAAATGGAAACAAGAGAGAAGAAATTTGTTTGGATCGTTTCCAAAATTTTTATATAATTTTGAGAATATTCCAAAAAAAGGAGAAATAAGAGACATGATTAGTTGTAAAATGCTTAGATTTCTTAAAAAATTTGGAACACGAGAAAGAGAACGTTAACAAACGACCCTTTCGTTTTTTGTTTTCTGATTTTTAAAATTATGCTTGGTTGGTCACAATTTCTTTAATATGTTTTTCCATTTTTAAAAAACACATTTAAACTTAGCCAAATTTAGAAAACAAAAACTACCTTTCCAAACTGCTTTTTTAGTTTTCAAAATGTGGCTTCTATTTTGAAAAGATGCACAAGAAAGAAATACATGAATGAGAGTGAGTGAAAGTAGGGTTTATAAGTTTAATTTAAAAAAATAGAAGGAGAAAAAAAACAATATGATTATCAAAGGGCCTTAATTTTCAAAAAAAAAACTTAATTTTTGCTTTTTAAATTTAGTTAAGAATTCAAATATGTTTAATAAAAAAGAATAGGAAACAAACCAAAGAAATTGGGAGGAAACCAGCACAATTATGAAAAACTAAAAGCTAAAAACGAAATCAAGAGCTAAACTTTTGTTAAAAATCATTTCAAAAGCTCAAAATACTAGGAATGAGAAATGGCTAAAAGTTTAGAGATGAAAACCATATGATAAAAATCGATGAGATCCTTAAAAGAACCTGTTCGATAACTTCTTCAGGGTTCGCCCATTTCCACTCTGCAAATTCGATATCCGCTTCGTCATTGTCCAAGTTAATCTCGCTGTCATCTTTCGTAAATCTCATAAGGAACCTGTCATTACATTTACAGCTCAAAAAGCAGCTGAGAAACCTGTCATATTCACTGTCCTCTTTCCCATTTCATTTCCTACTTGCAGAGAAGCCATGGATCAAGAATCAGAAAGAAAGAAAGAAAAACCGACCATTTTTGCGCCTGCCCGTGCCATTGCCCACCCCACAGCCGATTGACTTTGGTCTTCACAGCAGGAGGAAAGTCATAAGTCAACCATTGAGGTACCTGTTAACCAAAAACAATGTGAATCAACCAAGTTATTCCAGTGTTTTGTCTCCGCACCTCTTTTGGTCCAATCTTTCTTCGTAAAGGAATCGAAAGCGCTGTAGAAATTAGTACCTCAGCAACAATCTCAGCAGACACTATCCCAGTTTCCTTTCTTAGTTCCCTAACAGCTGCCAATTTGGGGTCTTCACCATCTTCAATCCCTCCCTAACATAAACAAATGGTTGAACAAAACACCCAATTCAATCTAATCGAAGAGCTATCGTAGATGTCGATTTTCTCAACGAATATTAGCCAAGAAAGTAACTCTACTTTCAACAAGAGGATTTGGCTTAACATAAATAATCTTTTCGCAACTTTAGAGTTGCATACAAGCCACACATAATGTAGTAAAAACAATCATTAATTACGATTATCAATTTTCTTAGAAAGCTATATAACAATGGTATCAATAACACACAATACCATTACATCACGTTGTTATATCAATGCAACCAATACGCTCTAAAACCACAAAGATGATCATGTATCTTGAATAGTATTCAAGACTTTGATAAAAAAAACTTTCCAATCAGCTTAGCTATCCTCAAAAGTTTGAACCCATGACCTCAAAGCTATCTAAGCTTATAGCTTCACTATTTGATAACGATTGCGATTCGAACAGTTAACATTCGATCCGGGTAATTCATAAATAGCTCACACATGCATATACATCTAACCAGTGTCCAAAATTAACAGAAATTTGGTAAATAGACAAAAAGAGAACAGGGAAAGGGCAAGGCAATATCTCCTCATCCAAGAAAAACCCAGAAAAGCCATGAACCAAAATGACCCATTTGGAGATTTGATGAGTTAAGAAAGAAATTTACAAAATCAAGCAGAGAGAGAACAGATAGAGCAGAATTTAAGTTTCAAAAATCACCTGAGGCATCTGCCATGCTCCTGGAACATTAAGTCTAGAAGCCACAAAAACCTGCATATAACAAATCCGATTGATTGGATTGCAATCTTTTTCCATCCAAATAAATCCCAAAACAAAAAACAGAACAACATCAAATCCTCAACCTCAACAGAATCAAAAGAACAAAGTCTACAAATGTTTCTAGATCTGCCACAGAAACGGACAGCTTACAACTAATTCTTCTAGCTCACACAGGCAAAAGAACAAACACCATGTCTGCATAACAAGCAAAGTTGCAAAATTCGAAAGAAAGAGGCAGAATTCTCCCAAATTAAGCTTAAATGGGGGCAGCGAGAGAAGGAAACAGAGGAGCGGGACCTGATTGTCTGAGTTGATGAGACAGACCCCAACGTTGGGGCGGTAACCAGAGGGGAGAGACTCCATGCTTTTGTTTTGCTTTAACTAAGGAATTGGGAGGTGGGTTTTTCGAGAGTCAGAGTTTGAGAGAGACAGAAGAGAGTTATTTGCTTTTTGGAAGTGGGGAATATGAACGACGCTGACTATGAGAAAAAAAGGAGAGATTTTTATGGTGGTGGCGGAGGCGGAGTTTTATTATGCCACTCTTTCTTCTATTCTTCCATTCTTTTAATACCATCTTTTTTTTTCTTTTGGGATTTCTAACATGTGCTCGCCCACACCAATTTATCATCTTACATTGGATGCATAATCAAATGTTTTTTTTCCGCCATTTCAGGAGACCTACCTGCCTCTACAATGTTTTATATATGAAAATCCATACAAACTAATTCCTAGAGCAGGTGGATCATCTTGAGATTTGGACTAATTTCCTCTTAATTATTCCTAGTCGGATCAATGGACCACCCATGATGGTTCATAATTATAGGTTTTTCTTTTCTTTTTTTTTTGTTTTTTTTAAATACTAGTTCGGTCAATGTAGTTTAGTGTCTCTACTCTCGGAACATCTATTTTGAACTATATATTTTAAGCTTTTGTTTATTTTAGTTACTGTACTTTTGAAATATTTGTTTTGTTTGGTTTATTTACTCTTAGAAAATGACCAATTTGGTAACTGTTTGAATAAATTTAACACAAATTTCATATGCAATTAACATCCTTTAATATAAATTTATGACCACATCTTAAAAGAATTTAGTGAGTGTCATGTTAAAATTGTAATGGAAATAAATGACCAAAATAATCACTTTTTAAAAGTGTAAGGACCAAAATAGACATTTAGATATAGAGGCTAAAATGAACAAAATTTGAAAGTACAATAATCAAAATAGTCATTTTGAAAGTTTATGGACCAAAATAAACTAAAGCGGAAAGTACAAAACAAAAATAGCATTTGAAAATTTATTCTCAATAAAATTGTTTTTTTTAGATATACATTTAAATTTTTTACTCTTCTTATTTACAAATGATTAGTATGATTATAGTTTTACGAGGTTAGATACTCTATATATTTTTTAATATAAGTTAAATTACAAATTTTATTATTGACTTTGAAAGTTGGTCTAATAGTTCTTTTAACTCAAGTTAAAAGATTCTTAGATTTTAAATATTGTATCTAGTATGTTGTTTATTTAAAAATAATTATTTAAAAAAATGAAAGTAATTTATGTCTAATAAATTCTCGAACATTAAATTTTTAGTGCAGAAAGTCTATAGGCTTTGAAAAAAAGTGTTTCTAATATATCTTCAAAGTATTAGACACCTTTTAAAGCTCAACTATTTATTGACACAAAATTTTAATATCCTATTAAATAGTTTTTAAAGTTAACTATTTATTGACACAAAATTTTAATATCCTATTAAATAGTTTTTAAAGTTATTAACTACAACATTGAAAGTTTAGACACCTTACTTGAAAGTTTTAAAACTATATATTAGACGCATGAGTCAAGACCAATCTCATATTAACCTGAAAAGGAAAAAAGAAATTACATAGAATTAGAATCTATAAAGAAATTACATCACAACTTAGTTGTGAGAATTAGAATCTATAAGACCTCGATGTCTTAATTTCTAAACTATACTCAGTCTTGTGTCCATACTTTACAAAATTTTCTTTTATACTTTTGGGCACAGGTGTCTAAACTTGAATTATATTCAAGTTGTCATATCAAATCAATACTTTAACGTTGTAATATAATAAAATTCTTTAAGTTCACAATGTAATTAAAATTCTAACAAAGTTTAAAGTTTAGGGATTAAGTAGACACAATGTAATATATTTTGAACTATTTTATATATTAAAAAAAACATTTATTGTCCACTTTAAAATTTTCATTATTATATGGACACAAATGCTACACTAAATGAATTAGTCTCTGACAAGGACTATATATAAAATTTAAGATTTATTTCCCCCATTTAAGGATTTGCATTAAGCTGAACTACTCATGGTGATGAGGTAGCCACTATAATAGGATAATAAAAAATTAAAATTCCACTCTAATTGATGAAAGAGCAATCCAACCTCAAGCACATCCATCTCCTCCAATTTTTTTAGTACAAAAAGTTGTTTTGAATTATTATTTACATTACGTAACAAGTTCTTCTATATATATACATAACAAAGAAAAAGGGTGGAAATTCGAATCTTTCTCACAAAATTATTTGACTTTTAACTAAGGTGTTTTATTAACTTTTAAAAATATTTTTGATGGTATATCAATCGAACTTTTAATCTTAACTAATTTTACAAAGTGGGTTATTCATGGAGTGATTAGATATTGAACTTATTTTTGAAGTAAGTGTAATTATCTTTTTTTTGAATAAAAAATATTTAATAAAAAATCATTTTAATATTGGATTTTACTAGTTTCAACGGATTATAGAAGTATTTTCTCCGGTGAATTTCACCGGTGTTTTTTTCCCAAAACAACTAAAAAATACTTTTAACTTTATTGAAGTACTTTTTTACAATGATTTTAAGTGGGAAGTAAGTACTTTAGTCATGAAAAAAGTATTTTTTTTTCCTTTTAGCTATAGTGCAAAAGGCATGAGTGGAAGATGGAAGATCATACTTCATGCTACATTGTAATTCAAAAATGAAAAAAAAAATTAAGATTTGGTAGTTTCTTCTAATGTTGTTCCCTCCCCCCAAATTTTTCAAGGAAAAAACTATACAAAAAAATTAGCGAGTAAAGTTAAGTCTCTCCCTAACAAAATTTCTCGTCCTGCTATGGCCTAATGCACTTCATAGCAGTATTATTTTTTTGGGTAAGTTGTAAATTCAAATCACCATTCTGTTGGAGGTAAATTATTAAAAGGATAAAACCAAATTTTTAATTAAATTCTTATTGACATGTTAACATTTCCATCGATATTTTTATCTATCTCTTAATTTTCATGATTTTTTTCAGAACTATCTATCGAGATCGATATTTCCATTAATTTTT